ATGAGATATTCTTTGTTATTAATTAAGTTACAAAAAGGGAATGAAGGAACTGCATATCATGCGACAAATTCATCCTAGGAAGCTAAATTTTACTATGCAGTTAGCGGTAGATGTGTAAGTGATTTGTAAACCCCGATTTGTAATTTTGTGGATGCATCTTAAATTAAGAGAGACAATTATTACCAATTCTCTCTTTATCACTTTTTCCTTAGGTGGCGTTGAACAGTATGTTTGGATATGCTACAGAACTAAGGTCATGTACAGAGGTAAATGAGCAGATACTTTCTGAATTTGTTAAAGCAATGTTACAGTTTTCCAGCATTCATCATTATCTCATTCAGGCCATTTTTAGTACAGGACATGTCATTTTTTCAGTGTTGATATAGATGCAGCTTCTGAAAATGAATAATTAATCTTATTTAAAGTAACAAAGTAGAAAGAGAACCTGAAGGGAGGAGAGAGGGGAGGAGAGATCCAGAAAGTAACCTAGCAAAAAAAGAAGGAATAGCTAGGAAATGAGACTGAATAATTCATAGAAGAGATGATGAGTCTTTATCCTAAGCCTGAGATTTTCATCTGGTCTGTTAAGCAAACCCATATGACTAACAGTGCTTCACATTGCTGCCACTGTTAGCCACTCCAAGCATATTTTTCCTTTGGCTCTTGCTTCCCTTTCAAGGGCGAAATATGGATTTGTGCAAAAATAGCATAAAGAGATTTTGTATTCATGCAGAAGCTGTTTCTTTGGCTACACTTATTTTTGCCTTTTGTGTTGACTCCCGGTGAAGAACAGTATGAGTTGGGCAGTTCTGGTTGGTTCATTTAAAACACAGCTATCTGTGTCAGATGATGCACCAGGGCAGATAAATGTTTGTAAGCCACCCAAGACAAGATGGGGCAGCACATAAATACATAAATATATAAATAATTAGATTCTGCCATTGGTTTAAATCATTTATTTATCGCCCTTAGTTGAATGAGAAAAAGTGAAGGAAAAGGAGTGCAGAGACAAATATGTGACTAGAGAAAGGTTGGAAGCTGATTTAAAAATCTAGGTTTTTATCTCTAGGAGTGTATGTATTTCAAAGAATTGCAGTGCCTTTTCAAATTGTAAACTCAGTTGCTAGTCCAGTTATCAGCTACTTACTGTGTCAACCTATGCTTGTATATTTCTCTTCCACTATGCAATGCACGTAAACTAGCACTTGACCATTTGACAATTGATAAATTGTTTAAATTATTCATAATATGAGAATATTTTCTCTTCAGGGAAAAGGAGAATACACAATGGAATACACTAAATATCAAGCCTGTTCATTCAATACACAGGAAGAATTAATTAACCAATACCTTGAAGCAACAGGACAACTTCCTGTGAAAAAGGGCAAGGTCAAAGGTTAAGACACCTTCAGATCAGTCCTATACAAGAAACTGCCCACAAGCTGTATTTGTTGCAAGACTCACAATTAAACGAATGAAGAAAATTCAGAGCAATTTCATCCTGGATCAAAGTTTTGACTTTATTAAAAGTCATGAAAAGACTGTTGTTTGTACAGAAATTCCATGAATGAATCACCATCTTAATTTATATTAAAATGTTTTGTTTTAGAGGCTTGATATTAAATAAAGCTGAAAAGGTTCTTTTCATCTTTTTGTCTCCTTCGACCTCATCATAATGCTCTCTGTATAACCTCTTTCCAATTTTTGAAGCCTCAGAGAATCCAATGCAGGAGAATTATCAGATCTCTCCCTGTTTTTTTTTATAATTGCTACAGAGTCTGAACTAGAAGACTAAATAACCTTTCCCTGAACATGAGTACACAAGGCAGACCTGTAATGTAACATGAACATTTGAAGGATAATGTAATAAGTTTAATTTTCTAATAATAAAGTGAAGATACATTTTGAGACAGAATGATTTTTCCCCTTTTTCTTCTTTTAGACATCATGCATCATGCAAAGAATATATTTTAATGTTACTGACTATTTTTCCAGACCTTGGAATTCACTTGCAATAAGAATCCCACTTATTTTGATGCCTGAGCAAAATTTGAGAAATTATTCTAGAGCCAGTCACATAAGTTACTGTCTGAAATGAGCTCAACTTTCAGTTGCCATATATTAGATATTGCTAAAATGTCAGTTGCCTACGAAGAAACATGTCAGATTTCTGAGGAACACGCCTCCAAAAAGTACAGCCTATTTGTACAAAGGGAATTTTGTCCTTCCCCAATACCTCCCATATGAAGAGAGCCGTACAATTTCTACATCTACTTACGTATTCAATTAGGAATGGTGGACTGTACAGGCCTGCAGGGCTATCTGAATAAAACTAAGTGCACAGAATGAATAATTTTGGCATCATATGTGTCCCGGGGGCCATAAGGAGATGTCTATATCATTTCCTGGTAATAGAGAAGTGACTTGCCAGCGCTATCTTTTAGGATCTGATTTCAGTTTTACCATGGTACCTCACAGGGTGGTGGTTGTAGGGAAAATAGGATGAAGGTCTATTGGATATGTTTGCTGTTTTGAGTTATTTGTGAAAAAAGAGTCTGCAGACAGCCCCGGTTGATGGAAAACCAATCTCCCAAATGCTACAAGAGCCAAGTACAGTCCTGGGTTTTGGTTTTTGCCACCATAACAATAGATTTTGAGCTGATTGTCCTTCCTTGTCGAATTATTTTTTTTCTTTTGAATTTTCCCTATTCTCTCAGCTGTTTAAAAGTAAAGCAAAACTCCCCCCACCCAAAAAAATCAATAGGATTATCTAGCACAATGGTGGCTAGCTTTTTTGTCATCCATCATGTAATGTGCGTGCCCCTGTGCTACCCATGCATGCAGGTGCAACCTGTGTGTGCCCTGTCCCCGTGCATGCACACGACCCCCCCATGCATGCATGTGGGGGGCTGCTCTCCCTGTGCCCCCGTGCACGTGTGCCACATGCACTTCCCACGCATGCATCCATGATCCCCACATGCACAACAGAGCCCCAAAAATCATCTGGCCGGCGGGAGGTGCACACACACGTGCAGTGGAGCTGAGCTGGGGCAACAGCTCGCATGCCCGCAGAAAGGGCTCTGTGTGCCACCTGTGGCACACGTGCTATAGGCTCACCATCGTGGGTCTAGGATATGAATGGGACACCTTTGGTTTAGATCCAGGCTCCTTCTTTCTCCTTTGTGTAATCCTGTGAGCTGTGAGTGTCTGCATTAAGAAAATGATCAAAAAAAAAATACCGCTTGCCTGTCTGGAAGAAATTGGTATGCACCCTTTCTTAAGAAGCCTTCTCTGAAACCAACTGTTTTTGACCATTTTCCCAGTCTATTTCTGGGGAATATTGTTGAAAAGATTCTAAGAGTGGTGTTGTGGCCTAGAGGTGGAGATCTTGCCTCACAATCAGGAGGCTATGAGTTCAATCCTAGATAGAGGCAGATATTCCTCTGGGCACACTGAGAATATATCTGCTGAACAAAATACTGCATTGGCGTCAGGAAGGGCATCTGGCCAGTAAACATTCTGCTAGCTCCATTCAGTTGCCCAGATTCCACCCTGCAAGGGATTATGGGGTCGTTAAACTATGGTATCCAAGTATAAGAATGATATCAAAAATGGATGGTCTGTATCCCTAACGGATTCATATCCCCGTATCCCTTGTTTGGAACTGTTAATGGGATGCAAATAGAACTGATCGCTTTGGTGGTTTACTGCCTGTATCCAGATTTGATTCCATTGAATATGATAAATTGCAAAGACTAGAAGTCGGGTAGGGTTCTACTTCTACCTGAGAGTGTGGTTCCATAGATAATCGAGGGAAAACAGTGGTCAAGTATTATTCCAGGGTAAGTTTAATGGAAATTAAAGTATTAAAATCAGCTGTTTGATCTGATCTAAGAAACGAATTGTATACAAATCCCCATTGCAATTAAGAGGATGAGTTAGGTTGCTTTCAATCTGAATAGGAATACAGTTTGTGCAACTAACAAACGTGTAGTTTTTAAAAAATTAACCAGCCTCAGACCTAAGGATTCAGATTGTAATGTTTGTGTTTCAATGATCTCTACACCTTTTGTTCCAATAGAACTAAGGCTGTGCAAAACTGCAGTTTGCATTTGAAGCAAGAGCCACTTTCAATCGGACGCCTCACTTCTAAATGCATGTAGATGGAGAAGATTAGAGCTGGGCTGTGGGACTGTGTTAAAACTCTTTATTGCTTACACAAAGATTCAGATGTAATTTGTCTTTCAAAAAACAATAAATTATGCACCGTATTTTTTGGAGTATAAGATGCATATTTTCCCCTCAAAATAGAAAGTGAAAATCTGGGTGCGTCTTATACACTGAATACAGCATTTTTGGCCTCCTGAAACCCTGCCTCCTTTGAAAAATGGTCATGCATAGCCTTTATGAGGCTTGTAGAGTGCTCCTGGGAGCTGGGGAGGGCAAAAATGAGCAAAAAATGGTTTTTGCTCATTTAAGCCCTCCCCAGCCCCCAGGAGCACTCTATAAGCCTCCTAAAGGCTATGCATGCCCTTTTAATGACAAAAAACGGGCCCATTTTTGTGAAAATCCGGCCGTTTTGGGGAGGTCAGCAGAGTGCAAACACTTTTTTTTTTTAATTTGCCTCTTCAAAATCTTGGTGCGACATATACTCCCATGCGTCTTATACTCTGAAAAATATGGTCGTTGACAACGACATTTTATTTATTAGCTTCCCCTCCCCATCATCTAGCCAAGGCACTCAGCTCTGCAAAATTTACTCATAAATTCTTTTTCCTCTATGTTTCAAAATAATAATTAGATGAATTTATGATAAATTTTAATTCAATTAGGTGAAGAATGTATAGTCAATTTTAGTTTAACCTCCCTAAAATTACATACTTAGAAGGTTCAGGCTCCATTTTCTACCCTGTTTAAACATCGTTATATAAAGCATCGAAAACAAATTTTGAAATATTGTAGCTCAGGTGATATAACATGAAATGACACCGACAAATATATATTCTTGTCCTTTTATTGAAGATAAGTTAAATCTAAGCATCAAATATTTTCCAAAATTTAAAAATATTTTATCAAATATTTAAAATGGCAGTTTTAAAATTTTCAAAGGCCTTTGTTCATATATATTTAAAAATACCTTATAATGAGTTACTTCTAAGGTCAGAAACTTAGTGACACATCAGCAGTTTTCCCATATAATAGAAATATCTGTAAAAATGAATATTTCTATGAAAGTAACCAACCGATATTTACGATAGATCAGAAGTGACAAGTGCAAAGCTTCCAGGCAGATTGCATTGATTTAGATAGAAGATTCTCAATACTGAATTTGGAATGTTAACAAAAGATGTGCCACACCTTTGCAAAAATGTTTACAACTGCATCAAACGGAAGGATTTTCCTCCCTACTTAAAAATTAGTTTCAACGAAATATTCATAGGAACCTGACTCTTCCCCAGAGCTATCTGCGGATTCTGCAGAACTGTCTTCTGAAAAACACTCATATTTCACTTTTATTGGCAGCTCCAGGTTCCAGGTAATATGCATATGACAGGAAAGATCCTGTAAAAATAATCATAGACAAGAGTAAGTCTACTTGGAGGAAATCCATTGATTTTAGTAATATTTCAGAGTGTGTATGTATTGGCTGCAATCCTAAACTTAATTCCTTGGGCATGAACCTTACTGCATTTAGCAGGATTTACTTTGGAATAAGCATGTATAGAATTGCCTAATAAACTATTTTTATACTTTTCTTCCCTGTTCGTAATGTCCCTGAATGTCCTTACAAAATAGATTGGAATGATTATTATATAGTCACTGGACTTAATTCATCTAATAAAACAATACTGCTAAAATAAAATAAAAGGCTCAGTATTTTATAAAAACAAAACTGTTGAGTACTGAAGCTTCCATACCTCTGAGACATCACTACCCATCAAAACGGTGTAGTCAAATTCAAGTGTGTCACCACGTTCCTGGACAGAAAGGAATAAAAAAAAAGGTTGGAATAAAGAAGGCTGGACAAGATAATTATATTTTAAAGAGCATCTTTTTAGCATTCAGGCACTATGTGGATGCTGAAATAAGTGGTTTTTTTGAGTGTGCAGAATGGCTTATGCCCATGATGGTGAATCTAGGGCACGCAAATCTTCTCCCCAATTCAGCTCCACTGTGCATGCACATGCGCTTCCCACTGGCCAGCTGATCTTCGGGTCTCTGCCACACATGCGTGGAGGGGCACATGCGGCAGAGGGGTTCACGCACATGCACGTAGGAGGGATGGGTGCGTGGGGGGGTGCATGCATTGCATTTTCGGGGGGGGTGCATGCGCTTACGCCTTGGGCACTCAGTCCAGAAAAGGTTAGCCATCACTAGCTTATGCTCGTTGGATGTTTCCTGACATTTTAGTAAAACCATCTTTTCTTTACAATGTCCCATACTGCAGAAGTTGTACTACAGAACTTCTGTCAAATCATCCCGAATGGGCTATGGGTTTGGCAATACTTGAACCCTGGATCATTTTGGTTTTTCCAGGTTTGGGCCAGAACAAAACCCAGAGTGTCTTAAGGAGCAAGCAGGGCTGGTACCTTCCCTCTTTTTCCACAGATTCTGAGCTTGCACCATCATTCTCTTCAGGTCTTTCTAGCTTTGTCTCTCTCTTAATGTTGTGCTTCAAGCTAAAAACATTGGCAGCTAAGGAAGGCTGCCTTAGAGAGCTTGAGGGACAAGGGGAACAGGTGCTGAGTATGATATGCTATGCATGAAGCCAAGGACATTAACAGTAGCTATCTAACTGGCCTATCACAACTCATAAACCTTCCCAGCATCTTCTTTTCCTTACCTTACCCCTCCTCTTCACTGTCAGTATCTTTCACTTTTTCAAAATATGTGTTTCAAAGAACATAGGATCATAGGGCTGGAAGGGCAATTGAAGGCCTTCTGGTCCAACCCCCTGGTCAAGGTAGGAGACCTTATACCGTCCTGGTCAATCAGTTGTCCAATTCTAGTCTTGAAAACCTTGGCATTAAATCTGAACCAAACCAGAGATTAAAATTATGAAGCCTTTGTACTTAATAGGCCACCAGTGTCTTAGAAAATGAATTTCTAATCTCTGACTAGTTCTTAGTCATACAAATTATTATTCTACATTTTTCATTTTGGTGTTTATTTAACAGGAGTTTTCCCCGAAACACATTGAACCATAACCTTAACACACAGGTTCAGCTTAAACATGGTAGGCTAAAATGTGATTGTTGTTCAGTGTTAACTACTGATTAACTTAGCCTGTGGTTCTTAAGTATAGCTTTTCTTGTCACTTACGGTTTTCTTTACATCTTTGATTTCCTTCATGATGTAACCCACATTTTCACTCGATTTCTGCCACCCAATGTAACCGCTGCCAATGTTGGCGAAATATTTTAATTCATCTGATGATGATGTGGCTGCAGGGGAGGGGGAGGAAACAAAAGAGGGAGAGAAATTAATAAAGGAAGTAATATTTTTATAAGCCAACCTTATTAGGAGTTGAGCTAGATTTGAGTGGGTTGTGTAGTGGTTTTATGCAGGCTTAAGGTTTTCTCATGCAGAGTCAAAAGATAATTTTTATCAGCAAACATTAATACATTTTATTAAGAGGCAGATATGCTATATCTGATTTGCAAACACACACTCAATCCTTCGATGAAGTTAGAGATACATCTTGATTAGCATTTACCATATTTTTCAGAGTATAAGACGCACCCTTTTCCCTCAAAAAAGAGGCTGAAAATCTGGGTGCATCTTATACATCAAATACAGCATTTTTTTGCCTCCCGAATCCCCATAGCCTTATGGACGCTTTCGGAGAGCTCCTGTGGGCTGGGGAGGGCAGAAATGAGCAAAAAATGCCTCATTTTTCCTCAATTTCTGCCCCGCCAGCCCAGGAGCATTCTATAAGCTTCCATAAGGCTATGCACGGAATTTTCTTGATAGAAAACAGGCCCATTTTTGTGAAAAAATTGCCCGTTTTTTGTTTGTTTTTGCCCCCCCACCCCCAGGAGCACTCTGCAATCTCCCCAAAGGCCATTCATGCCTTTCTTTTTGAAAAAAAATCGGGCCCATTTTCACGAAAAACAGGCCGTTTTTGGGAGGTTTGCAGAGTGCAAAAACTTATTTTTTTTCCTTTTGGAAAGCACTTTAGTTAGAGTGATTGATGAGAATTAGACTGATCAAGTGCTGTGCCAGCCGAAACAAAGTTTTAGGTGCTGCAGATTGTCATCGATTTCCTTCTCCAGCACATGGATAAATACACCTGGAAATATCTACCTACTTACCTAACCTCTCTATCTACCTACCTACTGTATTTTTCCCTTTCTCTATTTCTCTCTCTCTCTCTATCCCTCTACCTACCTACCTATCTACCTACCTACCTAATTACTTTCTCTCTTCCTATTTACCTATTGTATTTCTCTCTCTCTCTCTCTATCCCTCTATCTACCTACTTTTTAAAAAATTTGCCTCTTCAAAACCTTGGTGCATCTTATACTCCAGTGTGTCTTATACTCCGAAAAATATGGTATATCATCTCCAACTTTGCAAAACTCCAATTGAAAAATCAGAACTGTTCATTCTTTGTGTACAGAGTCAAAGTACTACACACATAGATGTGGTTGCATCCCTATATGTGCGTTGTTTTTAAAAGGCTAGACTGCTAATCAAATTAATAGTAAAGGACAGGAAGTCGTCGGCTTAAAACCAGTCACTTAGCAACTGTTCAATCTTAACAGACCCTCTCCAAAGCAATTTACAACCCAATCCCAAAGTTATGTTCATTACAGAATCCTGTGGTTGTTCACCATTACAACTGACTGCATAAATGCAGCACCCTCCCCCCACCTGCTCTCCATCCTCCATCACTGATCACTCACCTTTTTTAAGAGCTGAGGGAAGGACAGGCCATCCCATTGCTGGGCCACATGGCACAAGTGGCTGGCTTTTTCTGAGTGAGGCTGGCAAGGCTAAGGCTAGTGTTAGGCAAGGAAACCATGTGTCAGGCCTGCAGCCACATTCCTCTTCGACCTTTGGCCTGCCACACTTTATATTATTCTACTATGCCTTTTTCTATTGTGGGAAAATGGGAGGGGGAATTGTATGGAGTTACTCAACATGTAACCAAAACAAAATTTCTTCTAGAAATCCAAGGTCATCCTTTGTCTCTGCACCTGACCGGAATTGGATGGGTGGAACTGCCAGCATGGCAGTGGGAGATTGACCATGTGATGGATTTGTGGGTGTGGGGCAAGGTGTTGAACTTTCAGCTAGGTGGGGAAAACCTGGAAGCTTTCAGATTCAGGTTTTTCAAGATGTGCCAACATGGGTCTCTTAATAAATTGGAACTTTGAGCAATACTTTGCCTTGGATTCTGATTTAATTTTGGATGCTATTTAGAACCCTGACAAAGAGTTTTGCCAGCATTATTTTTCACTCCGAAAAAAAAGTATCGTTTGTGGGATTGTGCCACATGGCCCAGGAACAGACTGGCCTGTCCTCCTTCTCCAGCCCAATCTTCTCCACTCTGGAGATCTTCGAAAGATAGCTGAACAATTGGTGACAGAGGATGGGGAGGAGGACCAAATGGTTGTAGGGACCCTGAGGGATGGGAAATGGAGCATGGGTTATATCAAAAGGTAGGGAAAGGCCTTGTAGGTTGGCTTGTGCAAGCACTAGTCTTCTCAGGATCCTCCCCACCCAAGGCATGCCAGGCCCTACTTAATACACTCATATTTATTTAACAAATACATTGGGGAAAACGAGGATTGGGGTCATTAAGTGAGACTGTTTACTTAATGGCCCTCCTGATTTCTGACCATAATGGGCAGGTTCCATTACAGTCATCGCTCAAACGCTACCTGTATTCAGCTTTTGGATATTTACATTTGCCAAACCAACACTGAAAGGAAAGGAGCATCGTAAATCCAGAACCTGTTGCCTGGTTTTACACAACACAAGTAAGTTAAAGATACAACATGCTAAATTTGGTTAGTTTTAATGTTGCCTCAATTCCCACCCCCCCCCCGAGCTTTGTACCTTCTGCAAAACCAGATCATTGGGTAAATTCATTGCTCAATGTATTGTGCGAATCTAAAAATTGGTTAATTAGGGGAGAGGCATGTAGTCCTGGGCGATTATGAAAAAGATTCCCTCTCCAGGATATACCTTTAAGTTTTGTAAATAGGTTGTAGTCGTCCTTCTTGATTTGGGGTGGATCTCTGTTGTCTGTGCAACTGATTTCAATCATCGGCTTACACGTTTTCTTCTTGTAGAGTACAATTGCACTGCATTTTCCTAGGTTTTGCTTTAAAACAAAAGAAAATAACATATGGGGTTGTTTTCTTCCAAACTTCCTTGCTACATTATCCTTACTCAATCTAGCAGCAGACTATGAAAAAGAAAAAACTGTTTACGGAATGGGCAATGCCACTTCTAAGGTGGAAAACCACTTGAGGGGCAATGGAAGTGAATGTTGTAAATGTTGCAGACAGAGAGAAAAAAGAATCAGTATTTATACAGTATTATCACTGCTCTGACTCAGAAGTCCTTTTCACTGCTATTTTCTAAAACACACCTGGGATAAATATTTCTCTGCTGTAGGCATAGAAGCTATTGCCAGGGGCAACCAGGAGGTCTATTTACACTTTATCTCTTCCAAAAAGATCCCAAAGATAAGGGAAATTCAAGCATAATGAAGTGCGAAAAATGTAAGTTGCTCAGAGATAGAAACAATGAAAGAAAGGTAAGCTTTCATAGAATTAAATCCTACAACTTCTCCACTTGCAATCCCATATTTCAGGGAAGGAAATATTGCTCTAACAGTACCCCCAAAGCCATTGGATGGGGGCATCTAACTAGGTGTAAATCACTGCTGCTTGGTACTGCACTCCTCCGACCAGTAGTGACACAGAATGTGGGTAGACATGTCTTCTGCCCTTGGATTGGGAGTAGGGGGCAATGCAAAGTGATTCCAGTCTTTATTTAGCTCACAACTCCTAGTTTGCTGGGTGTCTCAGGACCCAATGGAGTGCTAATGATACCCAGCATCACATCTCTTGGCTTGAGCAAATGATTCATTGGAGGTCATCCTTAGTTTTTAGAGGCTATGGGAATCTGGATGGGGAGGGGCAAGTTCTGCTCACTCCTAGCAAGACTGTGGCTCTGCATATTAAGGTCCCATGTTGTCAAGGATTTGCCATCTCTTTTCTGGATGAGGTTCCACTGCCTGAAAGAGAACTGATTGCATATTCTGAGTATCCTCCTATAACTGGCAGCTCCTGTTTAATGAAAAGCTGCCAGCCATGGCCAGGAAGGTTCTTGCAAACTTCATCTTATTTATTCTTTCTTATCCCCAGAGTTTCTGCTCAAATGGACGGCTTCAATGCACTCCATGTAGCGCTGCTGCAGTTGGTGCAGATGTTGTGATATAGACAGCTATGCCTATGTATGAACCTGTTAAAGCTCTGCTCCATGAGCTACATTGCTTGCCAATGTGCTTCTAGTTACATATGTGCTGGTTGTCATGTACAGAACCTTCCAGGGTGCAGAGTTAGATTATTTGTGGGACCACTTCTCCCCCACTTGTGTCTTCTCACCCTATTCGATCCAATAGAAGAGGCATTCTGCAGATCCCGTCATTGAAAAATGTTATCTTTGGAGAGTCTGTCAAGTGGAAAACCATTCCTCCCAAGATTAGATTTTTCTCAACCTTGTCAGGTTTTCATGTGGCCCTTAAGACATGGTTGTATTCCCAAGCATGGGATTGGAGTGGGGCAGTGGTAGGATTCAATTTTTTTACTGTGGGTGTGGCTTGGTGGGTGTGGCAGGGGAAGGATACTGTAAAATCTCTATTCTCTCCCCCTCTAGGGGAAGGTTACTGCAAAATCCCCATTCCTTCCCAATCAGCTGGGACTCGGGAGGCAGAGAATAGATGGGGGCAGAGCCAGTCAGAGGTTGTATTTACCGGTTCTCTGAACTACTCAAACTTTCCACTACCGGTTCTCCAGAACTGGTCAGAACCTGCTGAATACCATCTGTGAAGTGGGGGTGAAAACCTGGGTTGCACTACATGGTTTACATTGATTTAGTTTCTCAGCTGCTGCTTGTGTTGTTGTGCTTTATTTATTTATCAAGCTTGTATGTCACTCATCATCCCAGAGGCAGAGGTGAAATTCAAATTTTTTACTACTGGTTCTATGGGTGTGGCTTGGTGGGTGTGGCAGGAGAAAGATACTGCAATATCCCCATTCCCTGCCCACTTCTGGGAGAAGGATATTGCAAAATCTCCATTCCCACTCCATTCTGGGGCCAGCCAGAGGTGGCATTTACCAGTTCTCCAAACTACTCAAAATTTCCGCTACCGGTTCTCTGGAACCTGTCAGAACCTGCTGAATTTCACCCCTGCCCAGAGGCAACTCTATGAGTCTTACAGACATTGGATAAAATGGAGAATGAAACAATAAATAAAGATCTTAAATTTAAAAAACTGAATGAAAATAAAACAAAGCAGGATGGAGAGCTAGGGCAGAGATAGGAGAAGGGGTGTTTTCTACTCCATTAGCCTCCTCCAAAATGTCACATTCCCATTAGGGCCACATGCCAGCTGGTAGATCCAGGTTTGTCAGGCTCATTTGGAAGGCCAAAAGGGCGGGAGCATATCTGACCCAGGAGGGCAGAAGCCACAGCAGAAAAGGCTCTTCTTCTGCATCCTGCCAGCTGAAATGCCTCAGCTGATGGCATCCACCGGCTGCTCCTTCTGCTGGCACGAATGGGGTAGGCTAACCCCATTGGGGTGAATTGATTTCTCAAATAGCCTGAACCCATGACATGAAGGGATTTTTTTTTAATATCACATTTTGCATTGGTTTTACATATTGTGAGTTTCCAGAGTTGCTATATGAGATGTGTGGCTATATAAATCGAATGAATGGATGGATGGATTCTGCTCAACTGTACAATGAGGAACTCACTGTATCCAAACACTCTTTGTTAGATAGGATGCTGAAGAAAGCAGATATCATGGCTCATTTCCGGTGCATTGATGCCAGGAACAAAAATTATATTACAGAAATTGTTCTACAGAAAGTAGGACAATCCACTTACCCCAGTTTGAATGTGTTTTGTATAAAACCGCAGGGAATACTCATGTCCAACTCCTGGGATATTCTGCAAGACATATAAGCTAAGGTTACACTTTAATAATATGTATGGCACACACCACACAAACATCTTTTAAAGTGGCAGTTCATTAAAACACTATATAGCATTTATGCAGTAGTCCTGCTTCTGTTGTTTCAGGAATGTTAGCAAAACCGAATGTGGTTGGGATGTAATGAAACTTTTTTGCTTTGTGCCTATCATCCTAAAAAAAAAGAAGATATTTCAGGATTCTCAAACAAGTCACGCATTAATTTTATAATGAAGCTCAAATGATGAATATTTAACATAAGCACTTATGTACTTCTATGTAATGAATAGCCATCATGTATTTTTTCCCTACTAGCTTTTCCTTCTGAAAAATTCCTGGAACTTTATACTCAAAGAAGTGATCTTATTTTTACAGACTTATATACTGTAATATTTAGGGTTGCTTAAGCATTAGAGTACAAATAGTCCTTGATTTATAACTGCAATTGGACCTGATTTCTGGCCAGAAGTCATTATGGACATACAGTAAGTCATACACCCATGTAGCCAGGTCTGATTTTATGTCATTTTTATAGCAGTTGTTAAGTGAATGATTGCGGTCATATATGCAAACCCATTTGCATGAGTGGAGATTTTTTTGCCAGAAGCCAGGAAAAAACATAGCAAATTGGAGTCACATGGTTGTGAGATGCTGCAACCGAGTGTAAAAATGACCCAGTTGCCAAGTACCCAAATATAATCATGCATATTTGAGTACTTGGGGGACCATTTGTGTGGCATGACAGGATGGCCAGAAGTGCTCCATAAAGCTCCCATTCCAGGCCTGTTGTAATTTTGAGCAGTCGTTTATATTTACCAACCAGTTGTAAGTAGATGACTACCTGTATTGCCAAATGCAGCCAAGAGCTGTTAATTTTTTGCAAGAGTTAGTAACAGGGATTAGCAGCTAACTCTGCCCATAGCCTGGAGTTCGATCCTGATGGGTTCAAGGTTGACCCAGCCTTCCATCCTTCCCAGATCAGTAAAATGAGGACCCAGATTATTGGGGGCAACATGCTGACATTGTAAACTGCCCAGAGAGTGCTGTAAAGCACTATAGGGTGATATATAAGTGTTATTGCTATCTTGGAAACATACAACTGGAAGAAAGTAGTCAAGTGACTGAATCTAGCTGCTTTGCTCAGTGCAGGAAAGCCAGAGTGATGACGGTCCAGCATTCTTGAGGATATCTGTAGAAGGAAAGTCTATGATGATCTCAATCCCACTGTCAAATTGCTCTGTCAGAAAGTTTTTGCTAAGATTGCATCAGACTGTGCTTTTCTATAACTCAAAATCACTGCACAATTCCAGATGTGCTCTAAAACTGAAGAAAAGGTCTTGGCCATCTAAGGATCAGCCTTTCAAATATTTGAGTATAATCCTCCCTCCTTTATGCTGAATTGCAACAAGTGTCTTATCTCAGAACAGGCTTCTTCAGTGGGAGCAATAGCAATAGCAATAGCAATAGCAGTTAGACTTATATACCGCTTCATAGGGCTTTCAGCCCTCTCTAAGCGGTTTACAGAGTCAGCATATTGCCCCCAACAATCCGGGTGCTCATTTTACCCACCTCGGAAGGATGGAAGGCTGAGTCAATCTTGAGCCGGTGAGATTTGAACAGCTGAACTGCAGAACTGCAGTCAGCTGAAGTAGCCTGCAGTGTTGCACTCTAACCACTGCGCCACCTTGGCTCTTTTTGGAGCCCCAATTTTGGAAAATATTCCCAGTACTGTCCTTACTATGTTTTCTGGAGCCAACTGTGTTTATTCTCCTCGGCCTTTTAACAACGTTCATCTGACTGTGATCTTAAAACATTTTATTGCTGCTTTTATTTTCTGTTTTTGTTCAATATGCTGATTTTATTTGGGATGGTGCATTTGATTTTTTTTGAACATTTTAATATATGCTAATTGTTTTAACCTATTGTTTTAAACCATAAATGTAATTTTTATTTAAATAGTTTATTTAAACTTTCTTTAAACAGAAAGTGTATATAAATATTTTAAATAAACAGTCCTCCCTCAATTATCTTTTCTCCAGGCTAAACCATTTCTTCAATCTCTGTTCAGGGAGGCTTATATTTTTGTCGCCTAATAATCTTCAGTACTCTTCCTAATCTGATCCAAATTTCCCTGAATTCTTCCTAAAGTGCAGTACTAGATCTGGGCACAATATTTCACATATCATGATGACCAAAGCAGAATAGTTACTTTTCATTATTAAACTTTAGTTGATGGTTGAAATAGAAAATACTGAGGAATGGACTCAGGATTGATCATTGCAGCAACTGATTGTTTAAAATGAAAATGGTGTTTGTCAAATATTCAGTCCTGCCTTTTCATATAACTAATAAAAACTTTAGGCTTCCCACCCTTGCTTTATGTGACAGTCCTGTTGTGTGTATTCTAAACAGTACACACAACTGCAAGTGTTGGTTTTGAAAATTAAAAATGTAAATGTCAGGCCTGGGAGCTATCTTGGGCACTGGATCTTCCCACATTTAGTGCTGTGGGAAACTGGGAGGGGTAGATTGTATGGAGCTGGGGAGATATATAGTCATAATAACATTCCTGTCTCCGAGAGTCAAGGACAATCCACCCTGCACCTTGAGGGGTGTGACTGGGTGGCATCTCCAGTTGGGACAGTGCTTTGATTGGACCATGTGATGGGCATGTGGCTTGTACTTTCTTTTGGGTGGGGAAAACCTGGACGCTTTCAGATTCTGGTTTTCCCAGATGTGGCAATATGACATCTCTAATAAAATGGAATTTTGAGAAACTTCAAGCCTCGGAGTCTTCTTTTGTTATGAGTGTTACTTGGAACCCTGACAGTCTCAAGTCAAGCTTGTGTCCTGATGACCTGATCACGAAAGTTTTCTTTCATTTTTTTTCAACTTGTCAATCTCATCTAAACCCTGGAACCTCTATATGGTTTCCTATCTATGTATACCCACATACTGTATGTCTCTGCTTAACTTCCAGAGAAAAATGAAGGAAACTGTTAGTGGCAGTTCAGTGGGTTCGGCTTCCGCAATCGGATTTCCTCACAGTGGAAACAATTGAGGGAAACCCTGCCCAGATTAGATAAAAGCAGCCTGTTGCAACAAAATCAGCCCAAGGCCCTGAGTCAACTTAATAGCAATAGCACTTAGACTTATATACCGCTTTACAGTGCTTTACAGGCCTCTCTAAGCGGTTTACAGAGTCAGCATATTGCCCCCAACAATCTGGGTCCTCATTTTACACACCTCAGTAGGATGGAAGGCTGAGTCAACCTTCAGCCTGGTGAGATTCGAACTTCCAAATTGCAGTCAGCGGTCTAACCACTGGACCACCATGGCTCTTAAACATTAATACAGAGCTATCCAATTTTGTGGCTTGCCTGGGTTGCACTGAATGAAGAGGACTTGCGCAGCATATAAAATAGATAATTAATGTATATAAATATTGCTAGAACTCACATAATGATGCTGAAAGTTTATGGTCTTGTGGAAGATGCATTGCTAGCTGTTTAGTGCTATAGGCTGCGTGGGATGGCGGTGCATGCCATAGGTTCACCACCACGGGCCTATGTTAACACTTTTATTATTATGGCATGAGGTTTTTGATGTTGCTTACATCACACTCATGTTGGAAGCACGGAGCCAGGTTGAAAGGATAAGCCACGGACATCATTGTTGCCTGGGCAATATCGAGTTGAGGGCTCCTTTCATGTACCCTGCAGAAGCTGGAACGAAGGATAGGAGCTCACTCTGCCCCATGACAGGATTTGGGTCTCGAACAAAGACTCGCTACTTGTCAACCCAGTGTCCTAACCACAGAGCCACTGGGCTCCTTGTTTTAAGTCAGTAAATGCACCAAAATAAATCCCAGTAAGTAGTAACCAACAATAACTTTTTTAAACACATGAAATGAGCTGAATAGTATTGTGAATAATTGTTTGGACAAATCCTTTCCTGGTCAGCCAAGAAACATAAATTAAAGCAAGGCTCAGCAAACAGACATCCACCAAGTTTTTCTATGCCAAGCGTATATAAAAGATACCGAACTTTTATAGTTCCCAACAATTTATGCAGAACATGCATCAAAGAAGCAGCCAAAACTCAACAAGTATTTTGGACCCATAAACTGTAGTGCATTTACTTTTTGTTTTAAATCCAGGAATAGCATTTTCCTCAGAAGAATAACTTCACTGCACATTGCATTCAAAAGCACACATTTTATATAAAGGAAATTTTAACTAAGATTCTCTTTTAGTTTTGGCCAGCCAGTTGGTTTGTTTTATAAAACGTTTCAGAGATTGCTTACTTTTATCTTTTGTTCTTCTGTAAACATAAAAGGTAAAAAGAAAATACCTCAAGATCTTTGCTGCCTGCTTCAAAAATGTTTCTACAGAGAGTTTATATAATATTATGTAGGTTATTGCAAAATAAGAAAAGATACACAGGCAGAGATTACAACCTGAAAGTGATTTTAAATGCAGCATTTCTTTCTTAATCACCTGCATAAGGTTGGCACTCCGACTTCGATGCTTCCATGAAGCTTGGTTTGAAGGATAAGGAGATACGACTAAAATTCACCACTATTTTTCTGGTTATGGTCATACTACAATAACTCATAACGAAGTCTGCTTGGTTTGGGGTTGGTATATTTTTTAATCCAAGCAGTAGCGGTTTTAAACCATGATTAAATAAACCACATCTTAACACAATGTGTGAACCTATCTTTCCACCCTCTGACTTTCAAATGACAACATTTGGGAAAAAACACTAGGGACAATCTGCTCTCTGTTGACATCACAATATTTCTTTACTATAGTTTGTTGAATAAACACAGTGTGTTAATCTATACAGTTTCATATGTGGTACAGACTTGCTGTCTCTTATTATTAGGGATATATGTTTATGGAATCCTAAGAAAATAGGGTGGTGATTTATTCTGCTTTTAGGAAAACCTTTTTTTTTCCTGGGCAGAATGGAGACAGAATAAGTCCCTGCATTAATTACATTCCCACAAACCAAGTTTAATGCTTAAAGTTCAATTTTTTTCACATGTTCCAAATATTGCCTAATCACCAATTAATCAGCAAAGAAAAAAATGTGACTAAACTGGCTGAAAGGCTAGTCACTATTCAGTCTTCTAACTAGTCACTTTCTCAACCTCAGCAATTTTAAGATGTGTGGACTTTAACTCTCAAAATTCCCTAGCCAGCATTTCTGTTAGAATGTGTTAGGCCAACTGTATTAATTAGATTACAACTCCCTTTTGGCCAGGGTAGCTGGGAATTCTGAAGTTATAATGGATGGGAAGAGTTCAAATAGTATGGCCAACCAGGAATGAACTCAGATTTTAAAAACATCTAGCTTTTAATAAGCTGTGGGAACTGGTCGTAAAGTGGTTTGTGTAAAGCTTGTGGTCACTCACCTAAAAACCTATGCTAAAGCCCACCCATTTAGGATTAAAATAATACGACCAGAAAGATCTTTTATATAGGTCAGTAGTATTACCAATGCTTACAAAGAGTAGAGTTCTTAGAGATGAAGCTCAGAATGAGGGAAATGAGACCAAAGAGAGCAAACCTTCTCTGAACTCATGAAGGCTTATCCATTGAGCAGCAGTAAAGGATGCAGCTGCTTTTGAGAAGTCTTAAGATTTTATCTGAGTTGCCAGATTGTTTGGTGGAAAGTCAGCAAGAAACAATCACCCTATCTGCCTTCTTATCTCTAATCTGCCGAAAGCAAAATAGGACTAAGATTTGAAGATTAAATACCTTCAAGAAAAAAAACACCTTCTCTTTTCCATTTAAATGAGGGATAGTTATTTGTAAGAGTATCAATGTAATTATTTTATTTAAATTTATTGGTCACCTAACTCCAGTAGATTGCGGGCAGGTTACAAAACTAGGAAAAACATTTTAAAAAAGAATGTCGTTTTTAATATCACTGCACATGTTGATGGTAATTTGTGCAGTATTATTTTGCAAACTGCTGTTAGCACATTCATTCTATTTTGATGTTGTTTTCTTAGCAATATTAGCCACTTAAAAGCCAAACATGGGGCTCAGATTTAAGCATGATTTTCATCAAGTCTCTAAGCCTCAGGAAGTACTCTTTTCTGCCTTAGCCACATTCATTTCCAAGGATGTTGTTTGCAAAAGGGAGTTTAATGAAAGGACATCACAATGTTCTTTATGTAAGAACTCAATTATTTGAATAAGCAATGTGCTACTCTCTCCCCATCACCCATGCTTACTCTCTACTTACAGAACACTTAACACTTACCACACTTACAGTGTTGTTTATAAGACTTGCAAATGAAAAGTCAAACAAAGGCATTTAAGCCCCCCACTGATGAGTGGATAAAATTCTTATCAAGGGCACTCGGAATGTTCTGAATGGTGGATTCAGCAAGGCAATCATCAACCCCATGGTTATCTTACATACTAAGGTAAACTAGATGGTAGAAGATAAACATAGTTTTAAAACTGAAGAAAAAAACAACCTGTGAGATGTTGAAAAGACTGTCTGGATCTCAAAGGATCTCAAGCTCTAGTAATAAAAGTCAAGGAGCACAGTAAAAATGTGGGACTAAAATGAACGTTAAAGAATTCAAAGTTAATGGCAACAGATAGAACAACCAGCTTTAGAACTGAAATGGAGATACCAAAGTGGTTGATAACTTCTGCTTTTTAGGATCAACCATCAACAGAAAACAGAATCTGAAGAACATCAACAGAGCTGAAGAAGCTTCTTGGATGAGAAGTGAAACTTCTTCAAAGAAAAACCAGAAAATCCAGTTGCCTCTTGAAAAAGCATCTTTGGGACAACTATGACCTGGATGACTGAGAATCTCCATAGACATCAAAAGAAAAGAACAAGAAACATTGTCAAGAATTATGCCATAGATATGCCATTTGGTAGACCAGCCATGAAGCCTTGGAAAAGATATTTAAGATGTTCCAACATTTTACCTACAAAAATCAGAATCATGCAAGTGATGGCATTTTCTGCGACACTCACAGATGCAAATAGAAGTCAGTCTGGAAGCAAAAATTGGACTTTGAAGAAGCCGGAGAGGATGAGTATTGGCCATTTTGAACTTTGGTGTTGGAGAAAATTCTTGAGAATACTTGGACACCTAATAAAACAAATGGATTCTCAGCCCAGAGTTATCAGTAGAGGCATCAATGACCAGGCTCAAATTATCCTACTTCAGACACACTATGTGAAGATCTCGTTCTCTAGGAAAGGATTTAATGTTTTGAAGAGTGAAAGGAAAGGCTATTACATCCAGCAACAATACTACTGAAAAACCTGAAAGAACAAGTTAGGGTCAGATCATCACGGAGAAAATCCATCTACAAGGTAACTAAGAGTCAACACCAACTTGACCTCACATAATCGCAATGTCTAACTGGAAAACTCTTATTTAACAACAAGCTCCCTCAAGGAGCCAAGAATGAAGTCATTCTTCCTTTCTATTGGGATGGGGTTGGTGGGATTGGCTGTCACTAGTTCAGCCTCAGCCATACACCCCCCCCAAAGTGATCTGCCCCCTCCCAATCCTGTGTGGGACTCTCATAGTTCCTCAGGGCATCAGGTTGTCAGATTTGCCTTCCCCAAAGAGTCACTGAGGCTAGGCTAGTTAGATGCAGCTTGTCTTTTTCATGCAGGCAAAGTTTACAAAGAAACTTTTACCAAGGAAGGAAATTAAAGTTTGAATGAGGAAGGGGAGAGGTGTAAAGAGACAAATTTCCCTAAGGATGACAATCTAACTCAGTGGTCAACAACCAGTGGTGAGAAAATTTTGGAGGTCCGTGGAAAAATTATTTGCCTTTTTTATATTGCACTAAATACTATTTATCTTTTTTTTTAAAAAAAATCATATTAGTGGTCCCTGGGATTTAATTTAATTATGAATTTAGTGTCCCCCGGGTCCAAAATGTTGGTGACCCCTGGTCTAACTAGTTTGTACGCTGCCTCATATGCAGTAAGTTGTTAAAGCAGCTTTGTTTTCCTTGCAAATTCCTCGAAGCAACAAGAGTTGGAAGGGACCTCAGAGGTCTTCTAGTCTAACCCCCTGCCGAAGCAGGAGAACTGATACCGTTCCCGACAAAACCCAGTCTTAGTAAGTAAGTAATCTCTTAGTAAGAGATACTAAGGCCCCTTTCGCAGCCCCCTCTTGCAATTGTGGTCGGGGGAAAGGGCTGTGCGTAAAGAAGCTGGATAGGGCCAGTGGGAAACACCGTGCCGGGAGGATTTCCTTCCCCGCAGCCATTAGATCCAAGGCGGGAACTTGGACTCTTTTTTCCCCCTTACCTACCCTGACCGAGGTCTTCGCGAGGTGCACGACTTTCCGGAGAAAGCTGGGCGAGCCTTGATGGTAGTTGAGATACTGGACGGCCGTCTGGGCGACCCGCAAGAATTGCGACTCAGAGGCATCGATCTTGCCCTGGGAAAGAGGCAGCAGACCGGTGCTAGGTCGAGCCGAGCAGAGGGCGGGCAACAGCAGCAGGAGAACGACCGGCGCCCTCCGAGGCATCCTAGCGACGAGACAAGGTGACGGGCTGACGCGGAGTTGGACAGGGCGCGGACGCCACCCGGATTCAAGTAGCGCCCCAGTGGGTCGGCCCCTCCCTAGCCAGCCTCCAGCCCCGGCGAGGAGGCGCCCTTCTGGGTAGCGCCCACTCCTTCCTCTGGCCCTTTCGCTGCTGCCTCTACCCCGAGCCAAACCGAGGTCGGCTCTCCACCCACGGGCGAGCATCCCCATCCCCCCCTTACACACTTACACACAAACACACACAAACAAACACACACACACACACACACCAGGAATGGAGAAGATCAGCTGAGGCAGTGAGCTTTAATTTGCTCAGCTGACTTTCCCCACCAGGTGTTGTCCAGATGTGTGAGATTTGTACGGCAGGGGTGCATCACATGGTAACTATCAACCACCATAATCATGAATTGATATTAGGTAATGAACTGTGTGTAAGAAAACCACCATGCTCACAGTATAGAATGGCCCTTATAGTCATTGTACAAAAATAAATGCAATGAAATTGGTTAATTGAGTATACCAAGGACCCCACAATTCAATCCTGAACTACAAAGAATCTGCTCCATAAATGCATAAATGATACCTGTAAAAATATAGTAAAAATTGGAGCCTAATTATGGGTCACACATAATTGCATAACTATCTGGTTCTAGTGTCCATTTTTTTATCCCCCCCCCCCCCAAGAAAACTTTACAGCTTCAAATAGGCCTTCCTTGTCTCTCATTTTTTTCTCTTTTCCCTCCAGGTTTATTACAGGTAGTCTTCAAGTTATGAGCACAATTGAGCCCAAAGTTTAGGTTGCTCAAACATTTGGTTAAGTGAGTATGCCCCCGTTGTTAAGCGAATCGTTGCATTTGTTAAGTTAGTAAGATGGTTGTTAAATGAATCTGGCTTCCTCATTGACTTTTGCTTGTCGGAAGGTGGCAAAAGCTGATCGCATGATCCCAGGACACTGTAACAGTCATAAATATGAACCGGTTGCCAAGCATCTGAATTTTGGTCACATGATCAGGGGATGTTATAAAGGTCATAAGTGTGAAAAATGGTCATAAGTCACTTTTTTCAGACCCATTGTGACTTTGAACGGTCACTAAATGAACTGTTGTAAATCGAGGACTACCTGTATTAGGATTTGTGTCGCACAGGCAGCCACATGTTCAGACTAGATTTGGCATTTTTATCCACCTATTCAGTCCTTCCCAAGGATGATGACAATGATGATGACTTAAAATCCAGTTTCAAAT